TCAGGCTCCGAGCCATCAGCCCAGAGCCTGATGCGGGGCTCCAACTCACGGACCGCGAGATTGTGACCTGGCTGAAGTCGGACGCTCAACCGACTGCGCCACCCAGGCGCCCCTCATCCCGTCTTTCAATCCTTGCACTGAAGTCACTGAAATCTGCCGAGAAGCCCTCCCCACCAAAACCCAGCTGGAAGGGAGCGCTCGGTGCCCCTGTCACTCCCGCAGCAGAGGCAGTTAGACGGAGTGCATGCTTTAGTACAAGTGGTTTATTTCTCCCCAGGTGAGGGCGCACATGTACCAAGCAGAAGTGTGCCCACCTGGCTCCTTCAGGAACCACCCGAAGGATTCTAGTTTAGTTTACATGCATTAAAAACAACTCTACAGTTGCCAACCACAAAATGTTAAGAAGCAACATCTTGACACCGCGGAGTTCCTATCTGCGTGCGACGTGGCCCCACACAGATATATTTACGGTACACGGGATGTCGAGGTTAACGCAGGTAAGACAGGAGTCCTGGATGCCCCGTGGCTCTGTTCTGTCCTGGGGCCGGGGCTGGGCGTGGACAGCCACTCTGCTGTGAGTGTTTTGATGGCAAAGTGGCTCTCCCCAAACGGAAATGGAGCCCTGGTTCCAAGCCACGCCTCCCCACGCCCCTGGCTTCGGGTGGGCAAGGCTGTGGGGGTTCAGTGTCTCGCACTCTGAGTTGACAGGAGATTAGAAGCACCAGAGACCCTAACCCTGGATCCTCAGCAGGCAGGATGGTGGGTCATTATTTCCTCCTGGCCAACAAGCTCCTTCTCAGCGAGCAGGTACATCCCAGGACAACGGGATGGGTCCGGGGTTGGGGGGATTAAAGAGGCCCGTCTCAGGTCAAGACACAGTCGTCTCATTTTGCTAAAACCTTTTACCGCAAACTTGCTCAAAGACAAAAGGGAGGGGCAAATTCACATGGGCATTCCCCGGAACAGGGGACTCTGGTCAGCTGTCCCTCTTTGCTTCCTTCCTGTTTTAAAGGGCCTCCTCTCCGACTGGGATGAACCCACATCCCCATCGAGCAGCAGCTCGGGACAGCGTGTCTCACTTATCTTGTACTTTGTTTCAAAACCCTCCCTCCCTGCAGATGCTTAAAGACCTGGCTGATGCCAGACAAATCTGCAGCCGGGGGTAAGGAGTGAGCCCCAAGTCTACTGTAAAAACTGGATGTGCTGTGAGCTTCAATTCTTTGGATAATCAAAGTATTCAAAACACTGGGAGGAAAAAAAAGTTAAAGTCGCTTTCAGAGTGTCTATTAATACCTGAGACTGTCCCTACCTGCGGCGAACCAACTCACAGCATCGATTCTGGAACGGAGGAGAGGCGGGGAAGGGCGCAAAGGGTGAGCAGAGAGTGGCTGCTGTTACCCACACTGCCCCCGGCTCTCACCTACGAGGAGCCTACGAGGGACGAAGCTGTGGTCCCCCAGCCCGGGGACCACCCACCACACAGCCTCTCCAACACCTTCCCTCTGTGGTCCAGGGAGAGTCCATCTGGCGGCTCCGGGGCACTGATTTGGACAGTGTCTCGTCTCATCAGGGACATCACCTCCCTTAGAGGCATCTCCTGATCAGCTCTTCCGTTTTTATCCCCGGGAAAATGCCGCCCATCAGCCGGGCCGCTGAGGGGAGAGAGGGACTCAGGGAGGGTGGTCACCCGGACTTCTGGCCGTGTTAGCAAGAGGCACGGTCCTGGCAATGAGAACCATACAGCTCTCAGGTGGTGACGCCCGACCCTCTTTACTGCCGCTCCCCAACTGGCGAGGGTGGGATGTGGGGGTGAGCAGAACGAGGCTCCCCGCTTCGGCGTGGCGAAGCACCTGCGGGCGTTTCCGGTGTGGACAGGAGGGCAGAGGAGGGAGGGGCTGGCCCGAGTCACGGGTCTTCTGTCCGCCTGGGCCTTTGGTCAGAAATCTCAGCCAAGGCCGGGCTGACTCTCCCTGCTTCTCTGCAGCCCCAGGAGCCTGCCAATCCCGTGGTCCTGCGTCCAGTCTCCAGACGCCTTTGGTTTCTATTGAAGAAATGCGTGCGTTGGCATTAATTAAAAACCAAAACAGATCAAGGAGGCAGGGACCTCTGCGGAACGCGTGTTAGGCTGGAAACTCATTCCCGTAGTGCCTCAGGTGCTCATCCGCCACGGACAGGTAGGTGGCCCTCATGCTGGGAGAATACTGTGGGAGAGAGGGGGAGGGGACGAGTCAGAACAGGGTCACCTGTTACAGTGAAATCAGATCGTACTAGCAAAGGGGCCGGGGCTTCTCAGGGAGCGGGGGCCGGGCCAGTCTTTATCACAGGCATCGTGGGGACTGGCCGACACCAGAGTGGCTTGGGCAGGCTTCACTGCTGGCCATGCTTCCGGTCCCGGGGCCATCAGGACGTCTGGCTTCCAGCATCAGATGGGAGATGTACACACAGACCAGCCACCCTCCCTCTGCTATGGCTGCCACGTCCACTCCAGGCCACACCACCGCCACTGGGGACAGCGTCGGGGTGCACCAAGGCACTGGGAACCTGGTTCAAATCCCGGTTATGCATTTTACTCATCCCCTGACCTTGGCTGAGGCTTTCCAACCTCTGCGAGCCTCAGTTTCCACATCTGCAGTCAGGGACCTAAGAGCACCAGGCAGTAACCGTGCAAGAACGAGATACTATAAAACAGGCAAGACACCTCACACAGCGCATCTCACACACTTGGCCCGACGTTACAAACACCTGGGAGCCTAACAGTTCCTGATGCTCGGGCCACGCCCACCAGTTTTGTTTTGTTTTGTTTTGTTTTTGAGGTAAAACCCACATAACAAAATTAACCACCTTCAAGTGCCACCAGCACTTTTTTTAAAGTTTATTTAGTGTTGAGAGAGAGAGAAAGAGTGAGAGAGACCACAAGTGGGGGAGGAGCAGAGAGAGAGAGAGGGAGACACAGAATCGGAGGCAGGCTCCAGGCTCCGAGCTGTCAGCACAGAGCCCGACGCGGGGCTCAAACCTACAAACTGTGAGATCACGACCTGAGCCGAAGTCGGACGCTTAACCCACTGAGTCACCCAGGGGCCCCGCCATCAGCGTGTTTTCAAAAAGCTCTTCCAAATGCAGCCAAGTCGGAGAAGCAGTGACCTAACACAAAGTGTGCTCAACGGACGTTCGTTAGCGACTGCTCGGGGAGCACAGGCCTCCAGCTGGAGGGGCGGCGGGGATGGGTGCTGGGGCTCTTTAACCCAGCGGTTCTTAACCATTTCGCAACGTCTAAGACATTTCTGGTCATCACACCTGGGGGGTAGGGAGAGTGGGCAGAGGCCAGGGATGGAGGTAAACATCCTACAGCGCCCAGGACAGCCGCCCCCCACAGAAGGACCCAGCCCGTCAGTAGAGTGGGGGAGGAAGCCTGCTTCAGACTGTGGGGGCTTCTCCAACCTGCAGCCCCAGCTTTCCCCGTGAACCCATTAGAAACGCAGATTTCCCGAATCAGAAACAGGCTGGGCCCAGGATCAGGGCGCCTGGGTGGCTCAGGAGGTTAGGTGTCTGACTTTAGCTTGGGTCACGATCTCACGGTTCCTGAGTTCGAACCCTGTGTCGGGTTCTCTGCTGTCAGCACAGAGCCTGCTTTGGATCCTTTGTCCCCCTCTCTCTTCCCCACTCCCCTGCTCTCTCTCTCTCTCAAAAATAAACATTAAAAACAAAAACAAAACAAAAAACAGGCTGGGCCCAGGACCCTGTGTTGCAACATGTCCCCCGGGAGATTCTGATGCACACTCGAGTCTGAGCATCTCTCCCTCGAAGCACTGTTTCCCGAAGTTCCTTGATGATAAGGATCACCTGGCTGCTCGATGCACTTAGAACTTCCCAGGTGCCTTCCCTGGACAGTCTGCATCAGTGAGTCTGGACTGAAGTCCTGGGATCAGTATTTTTCACAATTGCCTGGGTCACTTGTGTCCGTCAAATCGAGGACACGGTGCCTGAGAGGGAAGCAGGGATTCCTGGAAGGTGGAGCCTGGGGAAAGGCACATTTCCAGCCAATGGAACAGGCTGTACCTTCGGACTGTCTTGCTTGCTATCACCCCGGGCAGTGAAATCCCCATCTGTCCCAGAGCTGGAGCCGGCAGAGGGAGGGGTGCATCTATACGTCAAACTCGCCATTAGCCGAGTGCTGATGAATATTTGGAGCAGGCACAGGGGGAGGGCAGGGAGTGGCAGGTGCGAGGTCTATGGGGGTGCACGTCCACACACGCTGGGGGTTCCTAGGTGGGCAGCACCTGTAGATGCCTCCTCGTGCCCCTTGCCACTTGCACGGCAGGAGGTGGGGGTCGAGCTGGGTGGGCTGGGTAGCCAACTCGGCCAAAGCTCTAAGAGGCCCTAAGCAGGTCTTAATTCTAGGGAGGAAGGTGAATTCTGTCCTTGAGCCTTGCAAATAAAGTCAGCCCTTGATTATCTCTGCTAATGGCAGGGAGAGTGGCCCGGATCTTTCAAAACAGAAGGTAATCCCCAAATCATTTTTATTTGGCATCACAGCGCACGGACTAATTCCTCATTCCCAGCAGCAGATCGCCCCTAATTATGTTTCGCTGAGATTACAATTAATATCAATCTGCATTCCTGGGTCTACAGCAGCTGGTAGGAGGAAGAGGAACCCAGGAGGCTTCTGGGTAGAGAAAGCCAGGTTGAGATTTAAACGGTGCCTACTCTGAATGCTGGCTTCCATTAGCCCGCGGTCCCTCCCTGAGGACCTCAGAAGCGAGAGCTAGGCCTGGGTCTAGGGCTGTGCGTAAAAAGGAGGGCAGGTGAGGTGCTCTGGGCAAAAAGAGCAAGGTGGGGCCGTGGGCGGGGCGGGGTTTCTCAATGTCCCAAAAGTGGACATTTGGGGCCAGATCATTCTCAGTTGGGCTGAGCAGCATCCCTGGCCTTTGCCCACTAGGTGGCGGTAGCACCTGCTCCCCTCCCCCACCACCCCCAAGTTGTGACAACCCCAAATGCCTCCTGACAGGCCAGATGTCCCCTGGGGGCAGAACTGCCCCAGGGTGAGCCGCTCAAAGCTATGGTTCAAGTGCCACCTGCTGCACAGGACTCCCTCGGATCCCACACAGCAGCAGGGACAGGTCCCACCTCCAGGTCCCAAAGCACTTATTACAAGAGCCGCGTTTTTGAGCCCGTCCCGCTGCAGGTTATGCACTTCCTGAAGACCCGGCTGGGTCCCCACCTCTCCCCTGCCCCCCTCCCCCCCCCCAGAACAGCACTGTGGTTTCCACCGCAAGCACCACCTGTGTTTGGGGCTGACTTGCTGGATATGCGCGTGTGTGAGCACCAGGGCCCGGGCGTGTGTCATTGGCCCCATGTCCTTGGGTCCCCAGCAGCAGCCGCTCTAGTTTACCGGCTGGATGGCCCCTTCCAAACCCCTTGAATTAAAATGCCTTGTCCAGGGGCGCCTGGGTGGCTCCGTCAGTTGAGCATCCGACATCGGCTCGGGTCATGATCTCACGGTTTGTGAGTTCGAGCCCCGGGTCGGGCTCTCTGCTGTCAGCGCGGAGCCTGCTTGGGGGATCGTCTGTCCCCCACTCTCTCTGCCCCTCCTCCGCCTTGCACACGCTTTCTCTCTCTCTCTCAAAAAATAAACATTAAGAAAATAAGTAAATGCCCTCTCCAGCCAAGTGGAGGCAAGGGACACTTTAACGGACACCGGGCTCAAGAACTGTGCTGCAACCCCACCCATCACAGACTTCCGGCCTTGCTTTCCACTCGCCACCCCGGCCCCCCATCTCTTACAGATGCCGCAGCTAGTGGAGAAGGTGGCGGCGGGAGGGAGCGGGCGGGACGGCGGAGAGTAGGGGTGGAGCAAGCGGAGCCCTCTTAGAGCATCTACGCACCACACAGACACGCGTTTACAGTGACCGAGTCCTCCAACGCCCGCCACCACCGTGGGGTGTGTGCTATTATCATGCCCGTTCTACGGGTGGGGAAACTGAGGCACATAGAGGCGAAGTGCCTGTCTAAGGTCACAGAGGTCAGAAGCAGTGAGCTGGTGTGAACCCGGGCATCTGGCACAGGAGTCTGTGTCCTTGGATCCCATGGTCTACTGGCTCTGCTCGAAGCGATCTATCTGTCTCAGCCAGGATTCCTGCGGCCCCCACACTTCTCTGGGAGAGGACAGAGTCTTTTCTTTCCAATATGCACCCCCTCGCGCCACAGGCTCCTTTCCCGATGCTGAGTCTCGGTCCCCTGGCTGGAAGCGGGCGTGGGCCAGAGGCACAGGCCCCATTCAGGTACCAGCTGAGCAGGGTTAAGGAAGGCTGGTGTCCCAGACATTGCACCGCAGGGCTCCACCCCACAGCCCACGGTGAAAGGCTAAACACCATCGGAGAGCAGAACAATTTCCTTGGAGCAGAAAGGGACGCTCTCTCTTACTTACATTATTTCGTTCAGCAAACTCATCACTGCAAATTATTTCTCTGTCCCTTTGAGATGCATATAAACCTTTTTAAGGGCTAAACCAGGCTCTTGCCAGCTTTGCAATCCAGGAATGTTTTCTTAAGGGCCTGGGAGCCACCTCTTTGGAAGGTAACCATCAAGGACTGCCCCCATCTCTGTGGCAATGAGCGACGCTGAGGGCCACCCTAACTGGCATCCATTCGGGATGGACTAGTGTGACAGAGGCGCTGTGCGGTCCTCTTGCCTGGGGACAAGCGTGCACGGGGGTGAGGCTGTCTGGCTACATGGGGGTGAGCTTTCTGTCTTTGCAATGTCTTTAGCAGATTGCCAGCGATGTGCATGGCAGTCCAGGTTTAATGCTTACTTAGTAACAAAATTGTTTCACTTTTTCTACCTTTGGGGAGGGGATTCACCAGGTTGAGGGGAGGTCTTATCTGTCGTCACTTCCCCAACAAGGGCCTAGCTCTGACTTTGCCCGGGAGCCCAGGTTACCGTGGGAGGAGGGGAGCCTCTTCCGATGAGCGGAACGTTCTCGTAGCGTGGGTTACCGCCGAAGAGCATGGCCTGGTTCCTGTGGGCCGAGAGGACAGCTCAGGACGGGGAGGCGCGGGGGTGGGGGTGGGGGCACTTGGATTTCTCCAGGAGGGGCCCGCGGATGCGCATGTGCAAGCACGGGGTGGAAATGGACCTGGGGGAACTGTGGGCAGGAATATAAGGGAAAGAGCCCTCAGAGAGCCCAGGGGAGAAGCTGCGGGTGGGGCACCAGGGGCCAGGAGCATCGTGGCCCGGAGAAAGGCAGCTTCTGGGCCCTGCGATCTGCCCTGAGGGCAAGGCTTGGCATCTACAGGGGTGCACATGTACTGGGGTGGCTAGATGGCCCCCGGGGGCCTTCCCACCAGGCACCTCTGGCTGCAGCCGGGGGACCACGGCTGGCCTTGGATGCCTTCCTCCCAACCCGGTTCTCTGGTACCCAAATGTGCTCCAGATCCAGCTCCCCTAGGGCTGGGGCGGGGGGAGGGGTGGCGGTGCTGCCCCAGCTGCGATGTGTCGAGACATGTACAGGGGGAGCCCTGCCGTACATGTATTCCGAGACTGGGGCGTTGGAGATGGTCTGTGCTGGGGGCTGCAGGCTGGTCTGGCTGCCCAGGCCGCTGCTGTAGCTGCAGAAGCTTCGAAGCTGCCCCCGAGGGGGGTTGTGAGCGGCGATGCGTCGGGCCTGGGGGTTGAAAGGGTCATCACCGTCGATGTCATCATAGTCTCTGTCCCTAGAACGACATACAGGACACGACTGGCCGTGAGAGCCTGGACTCAGAGGCAGCGGGGTCCCGGCTGGCTTCCCAGGCTTTGCTCCCAGGACCCTCTCTTGCCACACGCGTGTGTCTCCGTCAGGTTCCTGAAACACACGGTCTTCAGGCCTGCCTCACACAGATCACTCCACCTGTTCCCAGCTTCACATCCACCTCCTCCAGGCAGCCCGCCATGCTGACCCCGTCACACTGACCCTCCCTGCCCTGCTTCCTTTTGTCCAATCTGCCCACAGGCACTGAAAGACCTCATCTCTATCTGCTTCATGAAAATGTAGGTGCCCCACTACCGGGGCTATAATCTACCCTTCTGGGTATTTTGGAAGCGCCCCTCCAGCATCCAGAGCCCTCATGATCTCGCGTCACAAAGCCCTTCAGAGGAAGAGAGGACGAGGAAGGGGCGCCAGGTGGGGGTATGACACTGTCACCATGCTCTCGGCTCCGCTCCTGCCCCGGGCCCTTGGAACCTCCTTTTGGGGGTCTGTCTGGACTCTCAGGGAAGCTTCTGCAGAAATCCAGCCAGCCTGTTGGGGCTGAATGCCTGGAACCCCTGCGGCCATCGTTCGGCCCAGGTTATCGGCTCTGGGCGCAGTCACAGAGCAGAGCCTCCTGCGTGCTCCCTCAGGAAGCCCCCTGGCAGCCCACCTGGTGGTAAAGTGCTTCCAGGCCCGCGGCCCCGCGCAGATCATGGTGGAAAAGGCCAGGGCGGCCAGGAGGGAGAAGAGGCCGAGGTAGAGCAAGCCCTCGATGCCGTCGTAGCAAATGCCAGCAAGAGCGTCCAGGTAGTCCTGGAGGAGGAGGAGGAGGAGGGACACGTTGCTGGAAGGCGGGTCAGGGCACGCCTGGGGTCTGAGCTCACTTCTGGTGGCCCCTCTCCCCGAGCCTCGGCCGGGGATCGTCTCTATCCCGAGCGCTTTTTGTACAGCCACTAAGGGTCCACACTCTGGAGCCCGACAGAAGGGCTTTTGGGGTTCACTCCATAAGCGTCTGCTGACCGCCTACTGTGTGCTAGGCACGTGAGGGTCGGGGTCGGCTCCGAGCGAGAAGACAGACACGGCTGCAGGACGGGAGAGCCAGAAGACAGGAGACATTTATGCTAAGACCAGCATGGCCAGAAGGAGTGGATTGTGCCTTGAGCAGATGGGGGAAGGGGGCACGGGTGACATGTTTGGGAA